AATCGTTATTTCAAGTTTGTATATAAGGGGGGGGGGGGGGGCTCAAGAACAGGCTATCCGAGCACGCGACACACCTGGTCACAAACAAAGACTTCGAACTCCTCTCCGCTAAGCAGCAGCACGTGCAAAGCCAGCCACATCATGCGCAGTACGGCGCAGAGCGCGAGGCCTCTTCCGAAGATGCTCCGCGGCAACCAGTCGCCCGCTATTCGTATGTCCAGCTGACGCGTCTCCGAGAAGCACCGCGAGGAATCGTAGCGCGGGGTCCAAATTTGCACACGACAGCCTCGTGCGCGGAGCGCTAGAGCCGCATCTATTATCAGCCTCTCTGCCCCACCGATGCCGAGATCCGGGTGCAGAAAAAAAACGGACGGTCCCTTTCGCCGCTCCTCGTCATTAGTCTTAGGCCCCGGAGCAGCCATGATGACGCCCCTTACCCCAAGCTTCCGCAGTACAGGGCACGGCTAGAACATACATATCCGGATCACTCAAATGGCCACCTCAGCCTTAGCTTTGTTCCTCTGAAAATAGAACCTAAAGCAGTGCCTGTTCCCTTTCACATTCACATAATAGAGTTAGGAAGGGACTATCAGGAACGATTTAAAAGAATTCAACTCAAGTGCTTTTGCTGAAGGAAAGAAGGGATGATCTAGTCGGGTCATTTCCTTGATTCATGAGAAGAATTTCAGTCAGGCACTGAAGTAGCCACCTTACTCCGACGGGGACCTGTTGTGTCGAAGGGAACCAGGACCTCTCTTCAGCTAGAAAGAAGGGTGAGACGTGTCCTGTGAATTGAGGGGGTTTGTGCTCTGTGTGCCGCCTTTGCTATGGTAAGCGAATGGGGTGAGAGAAGGGTCGGTTGTAAAGAGACGTTGTGTACGCGCGTGTACATAAGCATCTAGGTTTAATTGTCTTTCTTTAATTTTCAGCCGGGTCCCAATCCTAGCGCCACCAGCGTGGGTGCCTCTAGTCGCTCCCCTAGCAAAGCAGTAGCCCCGCGTGCCACAGGATCCACAGTACGACAGAGGTAGGAAGAGAAGGAGCTTGTTGATCATTAAATGAATAGCGATGCTGCTATAGAAACTTGATTCATAACCAGTTAGGGCTTTCTTTTCATTCGCTTTAAATTACAGTTGTGTAAATGAATGCTTTAAAATACACCATACTATGGGGTCACCAGAACTAGGCTACAAAAATCCGAACGAACAGTAGATGGTAGCAAAAAGTTAGACTTCTCAGTAACTCTTTGATGCTATCTAGTGACCAACCGGATTTTTTGCTGCCAGAAAGGTTATCATGGAGTAGTGAAGAAGCTTGATTCATTGCTTTATTATCTGCATCAATGGGGTGTTTCCCGGTAGTTATATCTGTAATAATTAAGCTGAAGAGATTTAGAAACTGCAGTTCCTGTTTATAAAGCTACGTAAAGCATCTTTAACACTTAATTTTTTATTTGTACATATCATAGCATTATAGGTGGCTAGAAGACAGAAATGGTAGATCTGTGGTTCTCTTAATGTTGTGGAAGTATAATTCCCATTAATCATTACTAGCATGGTCAGTGAAGAACTATGCTGAGAATTGTAGTTCAATAATATATAGAAGGTGCAGGTTCCCCATCTAGGTTTGGCACAAGACAGTGCTTCTATAAAATTCTTGTGGTTTTGAGGCATATTGAACAATACAAAAGTGAAGTATGCAGTGAATATAAACATTGTATGTTTGGTTATTCTTGATACATTTTGATTGCTGGTTTCTCTTGTAGGAAAAATGCGAGTTGTGGAACAAGGAGTGCAGGTCGTTCAACTTCTGCAGGTACTGGAGGGATGTGGAGATTTTACACAGAGGATTCCCCTGGTCTCAAAGTGTAAGTAAAAATATAAAGACAATAATGGAGTCATTTATTAGTGGAGTGCTTCTTTCTTGTAAAACTGCTTCTTCTTCAAGAGTAATTCGATTTGTAACCACAACATTTTGTAGTATGGTTTTAGGTCCTTTGACTTTTGTCATGATCACTGAGTTTCAAATCAGTCATTTGAAAATAAAGTATTGGAGTAGTGGATGTTGTGTTTGCTTCAACAGGCCTGAATTGTGCAGATCATTCTGCTTTGTCTGACTTGTGGTAGAAACAGCAACAATTAATCTAGTGAATAACATGCATCGAAGTATTGGCAGGAGAGATTAACATTAGTGGTTTTCCCTGACCTTTCAGTATCACAGTTCATAGTATCTTTCTGGCTCATTTTTTCAGGATAAGATGGGAAGATATAGGATTGTGATAGTTCCACAGCTTTCTGGGGTTTACATTTGGATACTTGTATCTGATATTGTCTCCTAGTTTTTAACATCATTTCAACCACTTGAGAAACCTTTTGGTGCAGTGCATAATCAATATGAAGATACTACTAAAGATTACTTACGCAATTGTTTTAAAAGATGCCCAGCAGTTTGTAACATTACAGAACAGTAAATTCTGTGTCTGACAGCCAGTTTGGTGTGGTGGTTAAAGGCACCAGGCTAGAAACTGGGAGACCATGAGTTCTAATTCTGCCTTAGGCACAAAGCCAGTTGGGTGACTTTGGCCCAGTCTCTCTCAGCCTTAGGAAGAAGGCAGTGGCAAACCCCTTCCCCAGATTTTGCCAAGATGACTGCATGGACTTATCCAGGCAAGCGCCAGGAGTCAAGACTGACTGAAGAGTGCACACACATACAAAGTATAACAAACGAAAAAACCTTTATTGGCATTAAAAGAACAAAAAATTACAAAAACACCCAGTGACATACCGAAAATTAATCAAAGGGAAAGCCATACTCATTAGGAGATTTGTTTTTGTTTACTTTTGAGTGCTTCATCCAAGAATTTAGCAACTATTCTGGTAATTATGGACATTATAGCACTCATATGTAGGGATATACAGTATTTGGATTTGAAGCACCATTGCTTGCTTTAGATTCAACTACTTCACAGTACTACTCACATCCAAGTATGCTGCAATTCTGTAATACTCTGACTGCAGGAAACTTACTTTCTGAATAATATATTACTAGAAAATTTGTATTTCTTATTTCGACAATTTTTTCCCTTATTAAATAATCAAAAACTAAACATATGAGTAGATAACCTAGAATGCATCAGTTGTAACTCTTTTTAATAATTACTATTTTTAAAAAATTGTATAAAGCAAAAGGATTTCTACTTGTTTTGGTATAGTTTATGCTTTTTATGCATTTTTGGTGTAATTTGCGGTTTTTACCTAAGAGTAAATTAAACAGTAAGGTTCCTCTGTAAACATGCATTGGTTTGTTCTATTTCATAAAGAGGAAAAAATATCTCACTGCCTTCTCCATGGCTTCAGACTTGTGGCAGCTAAAATTCTTGTTACTTTACCACTTCAGGTTTTTTTTAAAATAAAACACAATGTAAAGACCCCTTTATTCCAGTGTGCATGAAGTTAATTATGTTGTACTTGGGTGTGGGAGGAAGACCTGTAGTGATTTTATATTGCTTTTTATGTAATTTTACAATTTACATTTTCTCAAGAGCCTAAGATTCTCAGGTATTGTATAAAGCATATAATGCCATTTGGATAATTCATAAATATTGATTGGCATTTTTACATCATTAAGGCAGAGGCGTTAAAGTTAGATTGTAAAATTTCAATATAACCTGTTCTAATCTTTTCTCTTAATAATACTTTGTCACTACTTAATATCACAATTGTAACTACTCTTAACCTCCCCTTTCTTTTGGTACATTTCTGTCCTTTCTCCTGCAGAACTATCTCCTTTTCTTATTTTTATACAAATAATCTTTAGTCTGTAAGAGAACATTCCTGCAGATATCTACAGTGCTTATTTAGAAGTAAGTTCCAGTCATTTTAAGACATCTTTCCAAACCGGAAATGCTCCAATTGAGTTGAGCTGCAACTCCTGTTATAGCCAATGACCATAGTTACCTAGGGATAATAGGAGTTCTAATAAAAACACATCTGGAGAGCAATAAGGAAAAGCTTAGTTCAATAGAACTCCCAGGTAAGTGCATATAGGAGTGGAAGTTTAGAGTTGAAGTTTATTGTTATTTAAAGCTTGGTGAACATTTTCCTACATTTTATGTGGTGATTGCTTATTTCTTTTGATACTTATGATTAATTCTCCCTTTACCCTTAAAATCATCTTTCTTTTGCCACCTCAGATAAAACTAGATCTTGAGATTTCTTAAGCTCTTGAATTTAGAACTTGAGACTTGTTCACAAGGTCTTCTGATAGTAAGCTATCTTTATATACTGGATAGAAAGTTCCAATAAGGAGGCAAACCCAAATGAAATAAATACTGCAGTATTCCTTATGGGAAAAGTGCATTTAGTTCTGTGTAAATATTGATATATTTATCCTCAATAATAAATTGAAAATTGACCAAATCTTACTTAAATTGCTTTAAGCCTCATTGTAGCCAAGTCCCTAAATTTACCCATACAATATGAATTACACATATCTAGGGTTGTGCCCTAGAGTGGTTGAACCCAAAACAAACCATCAGGCTCTGGAAGTTTGCTGAACCAATTTGGATCAGCTGTGGTTTGACAAAAGAAATCCAGGATGTTTTGATTGTTTCAGGTTTTGGCTGAAACAAAACTCAGAGGAATTATAGTGTGAATTTTCAGGGTGGCTAGGGCAAGGTTGATATGTGCCATATCCCTCCCCCACTTACTCTTCACAGCCTGTGTGCCTATCCCTTACTGTGATGAACTCAGCAACAACAGTGAGGCATAGCCCACCAGCCAACCACTAGTCTTCCCAGCACTTTCTCTCCTGGCTGCTGCTGCTACCAGTGTCCACATACCAAATGATGGTGAATCCTCTATGGTGCACATGAATGCCACAAAGGCTTTGCAAGGAGCTAACTTCCCCTTTTGTAATTTTTCAGTGTTTCTCTCATTACCATGATATGCCCAAGTTCTTGCCAAACAGGCATTTCAGCCTTGGCTTTTCCCCATTCTTCCCTCCATATCCAAAGCAAAGCAACGCAACTTCCTTTTGTTCATTTTTTTTGCGGGGGGGCACTGACCACCTGAAACCAGCTGATTCATGGATGGAATTGTTCACATACAGAAGATTTTGCACATCCCTAATTGTTTTGTAATTTAAAATGTTTTATATTGTTTTTTATTAGATGAAAAGATAACAAATCTTCTGAAGTAAAAATTACATACTATTACGGAAACCTGATTTTGCCTATTCCTGTGGTTAACAAGCCTCTTGTTTTCTTTTATTTTCAGCGGCCCTGTTCCAGTTCTCGTTATGAGTCTTCTTTTTATCGCATCTGTATTTATGTTGCACATCTGGGGCAAATACACACGCTCATAGACTTTATGTCCTATCTGCCAACTTTAAAATTACATTTTGGACCAAATGAACATACCCATCAGATTTTACTTAAAGAAAAATGAATGGGGTATTCTAGATGGAGCTGTTGCAGGAGATTTATTTCTCTGCTTTTAAACTCTTTGCTAAATAGGATTTTTGATTCTTTTCTGTTGAAGATCCTGTTTGCATCTGTACACTTAAATTGCATTAAATATCATTAAAATATGACCAAATGAAACTCTGTATTTCTCTTTTATGAATGTCATGTTTTGATGACAGTAAGAACACTTTCACTGTACAATTTAGCAATATTATTCTGTGTAGCTCAACTGTTAAGAGCAAAATACCCCTGAAGTGTTAAGTTTTAAAAAAAGAAAAATTGTTATAACCTACCAGTCTCCCCAGTTTCTTTTCCTTTTCTCCCATGATAGCCTGGCCATTGTATATAATTCTGTACAAAAGCTGTAAGGATTACTGTTGCATGACCATGCAGATCCTTTCAAAATTATCCAGAAGGTTTAAATAGATGGGTCACTTTCTTAAGAGGATTGTGGTTCTTCTCCCAAAGCCTTGAATGTTTCATAGCCATGATTTCTGATATTTGGCCTTTAATATCTGTATGGAATCAAGATAATAACCTTACAGGAAACTTGGTTAGTAGGGGAAGATGGTCACATACAATTACTTGGATTTTGATGTTGGCACACTTCCACCCAAAAACTAAAGTACAAAAGGTGTGCCTTTGAGGGCCTATGTATTCTTGTTAAGGAAGAATTGCAATGGTAGGGTGAAAAATTATACAAAGAAGATACATTGCCCTATATATTGGCTGTCAAATTCAATTACCAAAATCCTGAACTGGGATGCAGCAGGTGTTGGTAAATGTTTATGTTCCACCAAACTCATCCTGCTATTATAATGCTGATTACCAGATGCACTTAGAATGGTTGTTGGCAGAAATAACTGCCTTTTAATGCCCTTCATGATCTTTCCTGACATGGACGACTGCCAGATGAATTTTTTTTCATAATAATCTGCATTGGTCCTCAAGAGATACGAAAAATAATATTGCCAGTCTCTATTTAGTATCTCTGATTTTTAAATGTAACCTTTAGATACTGGGAAGCAAACATAGTATCTATGTATACACATTTAATTTCCACTCAGGCTATTCAAGTAGTGTGTTGGACCTCATCTGTGCATCCAAAAGCAAGGCTAATCTTTTTTTATGAAATTCTTGTTTATCTGAGAAGAGAAAGTGACCATCAACCTATGGATGTGGAATTTTCAGGCTACTCAGTTTTAAGATCATAATATGACAGACAGGTGGGTCAAAATAAAATGTCTAAAGTAGATACTGATGTGATACTGAGTAGCCTTAAATCAGAGAAGGCTACCAAGTGGGCTCATGGTTCTATCATCCACAGCTGATTTGTTTTCAGTCTTTAAAGCACTTACACATTTGTGCCATAAGTTAAGAAAATCCAACTAACAACTAAATCTATGCCTACAAGTTTTCCCACAGATAGATTTTCTTGTGGAAACCCCCCCCTGAAAGCAGTTATGACACGAATCAAAGAAATTCCTCCCCAAATATACAAGTTTAGTTGCTGTATACTAGAAACTCATGGTGTTTAAAACAAAATTATGCAGCTTTAATTTGGTCAGGACTTCAGTTGTCAGCAAGTCACAATTTAGCTATATTTCAGCATATTTGCACCCTCGCACACCCTCCCCGAGCCTCACTGCACCTCCCCCACCCCCCTGTACACCCGCTACAACCCTCACCACACCTCCCTCACTCCCTTGTGCACCCTCTGCCACCCAGCAGCAGCCACTTATCTGCCTACTGGCCTGCTTGCAAGCTGCTTGGGACTCGCAACTTCCTGCTGGCTTCCCTATTGACTAGGTTGTGGGAAGCTGGCAGGAAGTTGCCTTGCCTAACGACTGTGGGATTTGGTTAATGATGGCCAGAACTGCAGGGATTGCCATTACTAAGCAACGTGGTAGCACTTTATGACTGCATTGCTTAGTGATGGAAATTCCAGTCCCAATTGCCATCATAAGTCAAGGAGTACTTGTATTACCATTTGTTTGCCCATGCAGAATCCACTAAGGAAGAACTTTCAAATAGCAACTTTATTCAATTGCAGAAGTTATACCCCAATTGCCACCAGTTTCAGAATTAGAGGTTAAAACTTCATAAAAGGTTTGAATAGTAAGAAAGCCCCTGACAAGGACTTTTCATCACTTGAGCTATTTAAAAGACATCCTGACTGGTGGACCCCTCTTTTGGTGAGGTTATTTACATGTATAAATAACACCTGCTGCATCCCAGTTAGTTGGAAGATGGCAATTGTCCTTATATACAGAAAAGTGGACAAAAAGGTATCCAGCAGTTATAGTTCTATTAGCCTAATACAGTGGGGCAAAAAAGTATTTAGTCAGCCCCCAGTTGTGCAAGTTCTCCCACTTAAAAAGATGAGAGAGGCCTGTAATTTTCATCATAGGTATACCTCAACTATG